ACACACACACACACACACACACACACACACCCCAAATAATCGTGTGGTTTCTACTGCACAGGTGTTCCGGGATGGACACCCACCCTAAACCTCAGGGAGTAGAGATGTCCCGTGTGATTTTGTTAGGACGGGCTTATCACCGCCACCAGCTGAAGGAAGGGAGGTGAGGCAAAAAGAAAGGGTCAGATCACAGGCCTTTACAAGCGCAGAGACTGATGGGCAGCAGGGTACATAAACACCACTGGCCCACACAAGAGGGAGGGAGGGCACGCTGGGTGAGGTGAGCTCCCATTAGCACCGCTGGTCAGGCTGCCTTGCTGGACTGGACCAGTCCGTCAAGGCCAGCACAGTCCGAATGCCCTCCTCCCCCGCTGCTGAGGCATGGGCGTCCATTAGGTCCTGGTGGAGGAGGTGCTGGTCCTGGCACCAGGCACCCTGGCACCCGGAGCAAGTCCCCCTTTGTCTGCAGCACGTAGGAGGATCCCCTTTCATCTCCAGGGCTGTTTTCATTTGGCGGCTACTTCTTTAGGGCAAGGCCATCCAGAGCTAGCACGGGCGTAGGCTGGGAGGGAACAGCCCACCAGTTCTGGTCCACCTCTCTTCCTCACCCCTCATCATCCTGACGGGGGCCCTTCGTGGGACGTTTCATGCCTTAAAATAAGGATGCTTGGCCACTTGACAAAGAGCGGTCGCCAGAGACTCGGGCCTTCCTTCTGGTTAAAGTCACTGAAAAGGAAACCGAGGCTGGCACACCACCATCAAAACACTCGGGATGCTGGGGCGATGGTCTTCAACTCTTTGGGACCAGGATGGTCTTAAACTCCATGGCTGTTAAAGCCTTTGGAGAATTTACAAAGGCAACGCAGCCTTTCTGCACAAAAACGCCGTGCGCTCCCCGCCGCAGGTGCAACCTCCACAGAAGCCGCAGGTCTGACGGGAAGGCCGGTTTTAGAGAGATCTGGGTCCCACCTCCACTCTCCTCCCGGACACTGGCCGACCACCCAACATCTCACCCCAAACTCCCTGGGTCAAGGCCACCCACATCACAGAGGATGTGCCTGTGCCCACAGGCACTTCTCAGGCCTGCTCTGACTCCATCCCTCATGGCCCTCGTCCTTGAAATCACAGACTTCTCTACTTGGTTTTCAGGACATGGTACTCACCACCACCCCCACCACCACCCCTGCACAGTGGCTGGGATTCAGTGCTTGGCCTGTGGATTCCGAAAGCTGAGTTCGACATTAAGGGCAGAGGTTTTGCAGGGAAGTTAACACTGTCTCACTCAGCCCAGAGACAAAGGTAGCTTTGAACAGCTTCCCCAGTGACCGGCAACACAGTGGGAGTGGGCCCGTTCCCGCTCAGCCAGGGCAAAGTCCTCCCCGGAGGAGCCAACAGCTACTGACAATGTATCCATCTGTATGGCTGCTTACTGACACACACACACACACACACACACACACACACACACAC